CAACATCATTAAGTTAATTTTGTATAAAATTGATGAACTAGGAGGACTAAAAAGAGCCCAAGAGGAAGAAAATCATTTTCCTGTGACCACAAGACACCACACCAGTGGCGGAGCTAGGAAATATTTTTAAGAGGCAAACTAAAACTTTAACCCAAAAAAGGTAACTTTGTGTGTGACTTTAAAAAGTTAAAAAAAATTTAAATAACATTCATTAGCCATTAAAGATATATTAATAGTAGTTGATAATGTAATATAAAAATTATTAGTTGAAATATAAAAATATATATATGGATAACAGTTAGTTGACCCCGCTTACAATTGTTGTGTTAAGATAAATTAGTAATTACCAAGTATCGCTAAAAATCAACTTGCTTATCATTATATGATGTCGCTCTGACTTGCAACATAGCATGACAACGTGGTTGCCATGGCGTTCAATAGCAATGCCCACCCTACCTAGAAATCCAAGAGACAATGAACATCCTCTTTCGGTATGTCAATGCGATCCAATGAGCAACTCATTATTATTATTATTATTTTTATCAACTGAGCAGCTCCAATTGCAACCCTTGTAATGTCTTGGAATCATCTATTAACAGTATGTCTCAAAAGCATTGAAATCTATTATTATTATTATTATTATTATTTTATCTTATTTGCTTAATAAAAAATAATTATTTTTTATTTTTTATCCCATCTTACTTACATGTTATAAATCTCAAACTTAAGATTTTTTGTCAAAGAAGTTGATACCATATTGTACCGGTCATATCAATTTTTGCATTAAATCGAAATGGTACATGATTAATTTTATTTTGGTCAAATTTCATCCGTTTTGATCAAATTTTAATGTATGTCTGATGTTTTGATGCACCAGCCGGTACTGGAAAATTGGTCCTTACAATTCAATTTAAATTTAAAAAAGGTAAATTTTATTTCTGATTCTCAACTTTAATATTTTACATAATTTTCATCTTTTAACTTTTTGTGTACTTTTTTAGTCCATTAACTATGAAAAATTTTTTTTTTTAGTCTTTCTATCAATTACTCCGTTAAATTTGTCTAAATACATACATTTTTAGTCCCTTAACTTAAAGTGGATAAAGAAAAAATATGCATATATTTGAAGTTGAGGGACTAAAAATGACCATTTAAAACTTTTTTTTAATTTATAGGAATGTGATGGTTTTAACATTAGTATCTCTTATCTTATTTTAAAATTTGATATTCAATTTATAAGATTATATATTTATAACAATAAATTCAAAATGACATGCGAAAAATTTCAATTTCCGGTACGTACCATTCAAGTAGCAAAATCAATATGCATGCCGATAT